TTTTTTTGGTGGTTTTTTGTTTTGTTTTGTTTTGAGAATATCTAGGCCAGGCTGCCCTTGAACTCTGATTCTTCCACCTCAGCCTCCCAAGGGCTGGAGTCCCAGGTGTGCACCACCATGCCAGGCCTATTCAGAGCTGTTAGCCAAAACCCAAGTAAACAGTCCAGGACCATGCGTAGATTTGCGTGATTAACTGCTACTACCAAAAATGCTATCTTTTAGAGTGAAAATACTGACGGGACTCCTGCAGAGGACGGCGTGGAACTGGAAAGCCTGAAGCAACGATTAGAAAAGAAACAGAAGAAAGAACTAGGTATTGTAGCAGGTTAATAACTGTGACAGCAAAGAGGAAATTGTGTTGGTCAGTGCTTTCACCTACAGTGTATTTTGTGTAGTTGGAATAAGTGGCTTGGGGGGGGACATGTCTGCGTCACACTTGCGTCATCCTTATTGTGTCCTTGACATTTGGCTCATTCTAGACAAGATTGTTTTTAAATGAGATAGTTCATTAATTTGACAGTGACTGCCTTAGGGCCTATGAAGACACCCCAGGCCTAGAGCTCGCTGTCTAGCTATCCAGGCTTGGTGAGCAGCGTCCTGTTCCATCAGGCGCCCCGCAGGAGCAGACGCCACTACTCTCCCGCTGACTGTCTCCCTCTCCTGGGCTTCAGCACCAGCCCGGCACCTGCTCCTGCCTCTTCCATCTCCACACTGCAGTCAGGGAGGACTATAAACAAGAGCCTCTGCAAGCCCAGCCTTCCCTGACCTCTGCTTTCGAGCCACAGCTGCCTCGGCTCCCTGAAGCGCAGTGGCCACTTCCAGGGCTTCTGCACGCGCTTCTCCGCTGGGGGTTTCATCGCCCCTCTCCCCAGAACCAGTGAACTCCTAGTAAATATCGAGGCCTCAACTGAAGCCTCTTTTCTGAGAGAGGCCTGGCTTTCTGTGTAAGCACCACACCCCTCCACGCACATTGTGCTGATGCTGACCCAGCTCTGGGCCGCAAGAACAGGCTTCAGGGTCTGTGTCTACATTCCCAGCAACACCACAGCGCTCAGTGACTATCTGAAGTGAGGGTGAGTAGTGGATGCAGAAAGCTGAGTCTGAATGTACCAGGGTTGGTTTTCCTCTCCCTTCTAGGTACCAAGGCAAAGAAACAAACTACATTGCCATTTAAACCTATCAAAAAAGGAAAGAAGAGAAACCCCTGGTCTGATTCTGAATCAGACATGAGTAGTGCTGAAAGTAATTTTGATGTCCCGGCGCGAGAAGTGGAGCCACGGAGAGCTGCAGGTAAGAAAGCTAGAAGACTTAGAGGGTCACTGGAAGATGTGAGCAGCCAGCAACTCGGGGGTTCTTAGACCCCACACCCCCATTTTTTTTGGGGGGGGATAGGGTTTCACTGCAGCTTAGGCTGGCCTTGTGCTCACTTTGTAGTTCAGAGTGGTCTCGAAGTCAGAGCAATCCTCCTGCCTCAGCCTCCCTAGTGCTGGGATTACAGGCATGCATCACCACACCCAGTAGAAATTATTTCTTTTATTCATTCATTCATTCATTCATTCATTCATTGTGTTTTGAGACAGGGTCTCTGTATAGTTCAGGTTGGCTATGATAGAAACTGTTTCTTAGAGTGGTAAATTATACTTAAATATTTGAAAAACTGAAACATCTTTTAGGAGATTAGCCAGAAGCTTACATATTCATCAAGCGTTAGGTCAGTGTGTGCAAAGTGCTTTTATTGTCCTCTTTGATTCCTTTTTAACAGCAAAAACCAAATTCACAATGGATTTGGATTCAGAGGACGATTTCTCAGATTTTGATGAAAAAGTTGAAGACGACGATTTTGTCCCATCAGGCGCTAGTCCTCCTGAGGCCAAGACACTCCCAAAGTAAGAGCCTTAGGATGGGTTTTATCAGGATTGTTTCTAATAGTCAATATGATTTTTGTTGTTTGATAGACTGAAGAGTTTGTTGTCAGGATTTTTTGTTGTTGTTGTTGTTCTAGACTTACTAAAAAAGAACCAAAGCCACAGAAAAGTACTGTGTCAGGTACGTATTTAATAAAAATAGTAAAACATCTGCTTCTGCTGGGACATTCGGGTCCCCTGGGTTCCAACATGGCCACGTTTTCCAGGTATTCCGAACATGGGCTCGAGTTCTCATTAGCACTGCATTTCTATAGTTTTAGGGTTAGTTTTGGGACTATAGCTCAATGGCACAAGCATCTGGCTCGCAAGCACAAGGTCCCAAGTTCAATTTCTGGTAACTCCCACCACACCCCCACCCCACAAAAAAATATGCTGCATACAGCCACTGCACTAACCAGCACTATGCGAGGTACTAGAGCCACTAAGAACAGAAAGGGGTCGTGTGATGAAGTATTCAGAGATGAAAACCAAGTTACAAGAGTGTGAAGGGGCCGGGGAAATAGCTCACTAGAATAAGCGCTTGCCTGGCAAGGGCAAGGGCCTGAGTTCAATCCCCTGTTCCGAAAAAAAAAAAAAGGGTGTGGTGAAAGTGTTACAGAAAAGAGCGTAAAATAAATTCACGGGAGGACCAGGCAGTGAGTGGCTTTCTCCGTGTCACTCCCTCCCCCACTCCTGTCCTTGTCTTTTGAAATGATAGGCCTTCAGCCCGAGGTTGCCAAGGACGGAGCCCCAGCTTCCTCCAGCCCTCCTGCTGACTTCCCCACCGGAAGTGACGTTACGAAGCCGCCTCCTGAAAGAAGCATTCCAGTGAAGAAGAGGGCAGCGAAAGGTACCCTGGGCCTCGAGTGGGCTGCATGCAGCTCGCTCAGGGGCTTCCCCAGCCAGTGTCCTGTTTTTCCTGAAAACTTACTATTGACATTGTAGATAGAGGTTTTCCAAATGGAAGCAACTTCTTTTATTTTATTTTCTTTTTTTTAAAGATTGTGTGTGTGTGTGTGTGTGTGTGTGTGTGTGTGTGTGTGTGTTTTTTTGTGTAACTGGGGATTGAACTCAGGCCCTTGCACTTGCCAGGCAAGCACTTATTCTACTGAGCCATCTTCCTGGCCCCGCAACTTCTTTTAGATGTTTATTAAAAAATAGGAAGTTGGAAGCCAACATGTTTCACAGAATTCCAGCCATGTCTGGCTCATTTCTGTAACAGGGAAATTGGCTTAGAAGCAGCACAAATGCTAAGTCTTAAAACATACTTCACAGATTTAATGCTCCGCAGTACTTAGGTTCTCTAAAGTATTTCTAGATTGTCTGTTCCTAAGTCAAACATACACAGGCATCAGGTCGCAAAGTGTACAGTGAGAAACGCCACAGCTGGAACAGATGATGCCCGGGTCACCTTGCAGGTCCACCTTCTGCCTCTGCCGCTGGTGCCAGAAAGAGGGCCGCCCCGAAAGGAGCCAAGAGAGCCCCTGCCTCGAAGCCCGAGGCCTCTGAGAAGCCTGATCCCGCCAGAGCCAAGAACCAACGCAAGAGGAAACCATCTGATTCTGACTCTGATTCTAATTTTGAGGAAGTCATTCCTAAAGGAGCCATAAGCAAGGTATTTATCCCTGTTTTATCCTTCTGTTGTGTCTGGGAGGTTGTGAGGAGGTGGGGCGCTTCTGGGGATTGAACCCGGGTGCTCTACCACAGGGGTGCATTTCTAGCCCGTTTTGAAATTTAGAACGGGGCCTCTCGATAAGCTGCCCCGCCTGGCCTCAGACGTGCACCCCTCCTGTGGCAGCCTCCCTGGCACCGGGCTTCGAGGCCAGAGCCACAGGCCCAGCCTGCTGTGGTGTTGCCAAGCGCCTGGGCACTGACTTGCTCTGCACTGGACTTAGATATATTGAGAATTCTGAGGAAATATTGTGAACTCTTAACCCATTAGTTTCTCCTGTGTGTTGTTTAGTTGTTACAAAGTTAATTAGGACCTTATATAAGCAATGGAAAGGCGGCAGCGCGAGCGCTCCTGCTGCTGGGCGGGCCCTGAGAGCAGCTTCTCTCTCCAGAAACCCAAGGCGGAGAGCGGCGGCTTCCACGCGGCCCTGGAGCCCCGGGCCAAGTCGGGCCGGGCGCGGAAGCCCATAAAGTACCTGGAGGAGTCCGACGAAGACGACCTGTTCTGAACTGCAGGCCTATTTCACAGGATGGCTTCACTGAGCCCAAGCCTGGTTCAAAAGTTTGCTGAAGGTCTTGGCTTCCTTCCTAAGTTCAGTTTGGAAAGGTACTTGTTTGCAGGACCATCACTGAAAGAAAAAGAAAGTAAAAGGGCGCCCTCGGAGGTGGCGCCCTAGCTCCTGTCCCACGAGCAGCCTGCTGGCTGTCTTCCCTTTTGTCTTTGTTGTGTGTCTTCTTTGATCTCTAAAACATGGCGTTAGCCTCACCCGACTCGGCGAGTTATGTGGTCACTGCAGCCGAAAACAGTTTGTCTGCTACTCTAAGCGCAAGACAAGCGCTGTGACCTCAGGAGTGAAGTCCGAGCGTGGTTAGTGGTGCTTTGCTGGACCTTACAGACAAACGTGACAGTTCTGGTGCACACACTGCGTGGCCTTCTCTCTGCTGAACTCGTGCTTAAGCAATAGAAAATTGCTCATATCCATTTAAATTCACCAGAGAGCAGAGAAGACCACCTGACTGTCGCAGGACCGGCTGGCACCAGCACGACCACCTCCGCTCAGCCCGCGCACTGCTGCGGGGTCAGAATCCGCCCTGAGCGGACCTCCCGCGGAGGCCGTGCTGGCAGTGGCTGCTGGTCTGTCCGGGCGGTCTCCTGAATTGAACCTGTGACCCCTTTTGAGGCCTTTCTCCATGTTATGTGTTCCTTAAGTGATGTTCTCAATGTTTCTGTAAATATTTACTGCGTCTTAACTCATCTCCAGAAATTTTATACTGTAATAAAATGTTCTAAACATCACAACTTATGCTTGCCCTTTTATAAAACCTTTGCTAGGGGCTGGTGAGATGGCTCAGTGGTCTAAAGCACCTACTTAGAACAAGCTCAGCAAAGCACAGGGACCGCGGTTCAATCCCCAGCACCACATGCCAGCCAGCCCCTCCCCCTGGTGGGTGAGCTGGCCACACACACACACACATAAATAAAACCGATGCAAGTCTTTTTCTTAGTTAGAAGTCCTTTTCAGACTGATCATTTGATGGCTTAGTGCTGGGTTCTGTGATTTAGTGGGAAGAAGTAAATTTTTTTATTTTTCTTTGTGAGATAAGATCCCAGTCCCTGTGCAGTTCATACTGGCCTTGGACTCACTGTGTCGCCCAGGCTGGCCTCCAACTCCCAGCGACCCTCCTGCCTCCACCTCCTGAGTGCTGGCATTCCCGCCGTGTGGCTCCATGCCCAGCTAAGAAAATATTTTCCCTGGGAATTCTTACGTGACTACTAAATTCTTCATCACCTCCATACTCCATTTAATTTAAATAGGTTTGCGTTTTATTTGTAGTCCTGGGGATTACATCTCCTTTTCAGAATTTGAGACAGATTATTAAATTACCTAATGGGACTCAAAGTTGTAATTCTTCTGTCTCAGCCTCCCAAATTCTGGGGTTAGCAGGTGTGCACCAGCAAGCGAGCGTGGCCAGTATCTATCTTTAAACGATTTCCAAGCCAGGTGTGGTGGCCACTCAGTGGATGGGGGCGGGAAGATCGGCGCTGAGTTTGAGGCCAGCCTGGGCTACATGAGACCCTGCAGCACAAAGCCATTCCTTCCTTTAGTAACCAGTTTGACACTAGTCCCCCTGCCTGATGGATGTAAGTTGTACTGGGGCAAGTGGCTGACCCATTTAGGCGGAAATGCTAAGCAAACTTACCTCCACTGCATCTTACTCTAAAATGAAGCAGTTTTGCCAGGGAGATGGCTCAGTAGGATAAGCGCTTGACAGGCAAACGCCAGGATCTGAGTTCAATCCCTGGTTCTGCCAAAAAAGAAAAAAAAAAAAAATCTCAGGGGTTTTCAAGAAAAACCGTAAATTAGGGGCTGGTGAGATGGCTCAGTGGTCTAAAGCACCTACTTAGAACAAGCTTAGCAGAGCACAGGGACCGCGGTTCAATCCCCAGCACCACAGGCCAGCCAGCCCCGCCCCCTGGTGGGTGAGCTGGCCACACACACACACACATAAATTAAAAAAAAATTTTTTTAAGTCCAATAAGGGGGGAACTACCCGCTCCGGCCCCCCTCCTGTCCCTCTCTTGGACAGGAGCTTTCTTTCAATAAATATATTCTGCTCATTAAAAAAAAAACAACAAAACTTCAAATAAGGAGATGAGGGCTGGGGGAGAGAGCTCGGCGGTCTAATAGTGCGCCTGCCTGGGAAGGGCAAGGACCCAGGTTTGATCCCTGGTACCACATGCCAGCCCCAAAACCGGGTATTGTGGCACACGCCTGTAATCTGCGGAGGCTGAGACAGGAAGATCACTATGAGTTCAAGCTATGTAGCAAGACTACCAAATTTTAAAAACGATGCAAATACACTGTAGCACAAAGGCCCTGGGCTCAAGTCCTAGTACAATAAAGCTTTAAATCTAAACAAAAAAATATGCACAAAATCATTCACTGGGCCAGGCTGCCCGCACACGTGTCACCCCCGCAGGCCCAGGAAGGAGCGGAAAGGCCATGTTTCCCCGACACATTTAACCACACAGAGTCCGTATCGTGTTGGGCAGAGAGAAAAGGCTGTGAAATGATCCTGAGTAGCTATCAGAATTCAGCAAAGGAACACGATGGCAGCCTTACTGTGTCTAGCCCTGAAGTACAGAGAAGCTGTGCTGTACAGTATCGCGCTCAGACTGTAAGCCACTTCTACTTAAACTGGTGCTCACAGATTACTTTGGTGATAGAGTCCCAGGCTGGCCTCGACCATGCAGCAATCCTGCCTCGGCCTCCCGAGTGCTGGGATGACAGGCGTGCACCCAGCCTGGCTACAAACTGTGCAGCCGTCTTACAGTACAGCTTCTGATCGGATGGGGCTGGGCGTGAGAATCCACGCTTCTCCCAAGTGCCCCGGGGATAGCGGGCTCAGTGGAATAAGCACTTCTCTGGCAAGCGCAAGGCCTGAGTTCAGTCCCTGGTTCTGCAAAAATAAAATGAAAAATCCCCCCAAACTGAACCGCTGCTTCTCAGTCCCCAAGAGCATTCCAGAAACTGCGGGGCCATCCCGACCTGCTGGCCCAGAACTTGAGTCAGCTGGTGCTGACAACGCACAGCCCAGCAGCAGCTGCTTCTCTTCGGGTGCCATTTGGGGGGTTTTATTCTTTTTTTTTTTTTTTTTTTTTGGATTTTTCTAAGTGTTCCCAGAGATTGCAAATATTTCCTTTCAGAATCAAAATAATAATCTCTTTTCGTTGTTGTTCTGGTC